CCATGTCCTCTAGCTGAGCAGGGTCTTATGTTTGATGCAGATATTTCTTTTTTTTTTTTTTTTTCTTCCTTTTTTTTTTTTTTTTTTTTTTTCTTCTTTTTTTTCCTTCTCATCTGTCTTTGCCAGATGCTCCTTTGGGATTCTCCCTTTACAGTTACATTGCGTCCCCAAGTGGGGAAGGAAACCAATCATCAGCTGCCTTGAATATTGAAAACTACTGCCTGTAATTGATTTTGAATAAGGTTTGTGAGAGCTGACTGAAACTGTCATGGGTACCAAAAATGTCTCGTTCTTGTTTTCTTCTAGGAACTTTATATTGCCGTGGGAATATCTGGAGCAATCCAACACTTGGCTGGGATGAAAGACAGCAAGGTATATAAAGATGGATGTGCTAGAAACGATGCTTGAGGAAGGAAAGGAGTTGACTTCCTTGCTTTTACATCATTACTTCAGCCAGGTCTCCAATTGCTTTTCATGTTAAAATTGCCAGTTTGGCTGCTTCTTCAAAGCACGCTAGCCCTCTAAGCCTTGCCAAAAAAAGATACTGTGGCAAAACATCTAACGTGGTAGGAAACCCGTTGCACTACAACCCAATGTGGTAAGTAGAAGCAGCTAATTGACTTTGTTTATTTAAAAAAAAAAAAAAAAAAACCAAACCACATATACCTGAATTCTATACAGTAGTTCTATTTGCGTTTATTTCATGACGTATTAATTCATGCATAACAATGCAATTTGAATTATGAACTTACTATTCCATAAAGTAAGATGTCTCTGACATTTCTGCATTTAGCCATTCAAATGGAAACCTATTACAAAATGGCAGTAAAACTTTAAAAGGTTTAACTAATTGGTTGCCAAAACAAATAATCCAAAATTGGAATTGCCACTTTGGTCCACAGTGTGGAGTTTGGAAAGAGAAGCAGAAATACCTGCTGAATCATACTACCAAATATCAAAAGCTGAAGGTTGTCCTGCCTCCCTGCAAGTAGTTTTAGGAAAAGGATATGTTGTTTTTTTTTTTTTCCTATTTCCAGGGAATGAACTTATGCTTTCTGGCAGGAACCAAACCCAGAACTCTGAATAGCTTACAAAGCTGAGGAAATGGTTTGCGAAACTTTACAGGCAGGTCCTGGTGTTTAACCAGTGACAGACCTAGTGAGTTTATGTGGCTGGTAACAGTCCTCACGAGCCAGCCTCTGTGGTAGGGTGATTTGCGCTTTCTTACAATTTGGTTCTTTTTGCAAATATTATTTAAACAATATTGGGGGAAAATCATCTGAGCTGGATTTGGGACGCAGCACCCTTGTTGTGGCCTCAGTCTTCTGCAATCAGGGACTCGGGTGGTGTTAGTGTTAGTTGACACAGTGGAGAAAAAGCGACCAAAAATTGGAATGAAGGTTGGATGGTGAGCAGGGATGAAGGTCACTACTGAGAAGCGCGAATCATAGTATCTCTCTGTAGCAGTGTAACCTCACTGGTTTCAGCGGAACCGCGTCGCCGTGGTCTCCTCTAGTCGCAGCGCAGCACCGGGGAGGCGCCGGGACAGTCAGAGGGCGGGAGGGACCCAGAGCAGCGCTGGTGCGGCACCGCCCCGGGCATCCTCGGCTCCTTCCGGGCTCTGCTAGGAGCTGATGGTCCACGCTATTAGGAGTATCTTTGTTTTGAGGCGTTTAGGCTCCAACTGTGCTTTTGGGTGAGGGAGAAGATGGGCGGGTGGGATTAGTGTCAGCTACTGAGAAATGCCCTAAATTTAAAGCTGCTTAAAACTTGACCTGACCCTGTTTGTATTCACCTCTTGCCTTGCCTCAGTGAAGGCTACTGGCAATGCTGGGAGTCTGTTACTTTAAGTGCCAGAACTTCCTTTGATATAGAAATACTGAGCAGCAAAATACCGTCCTGTACTGTAACAGCAAAACCTCTGGGTTTTTTTGCTTTTCCAATGCCATGTTTGACATTTTGAGATGTTCTTTTATAGGGAATAAGAACAGATAAGTTTGTTAATGAGATGCATACTTTTAATTTCTCCAGTATATTGTAGTTTTTCTAGTATAAACAAAAATGTGTATTGTAAAAATCAGTTTTACATACTTGTGTTTGAAATGTGTTCTGCTTTCAGCTTAGCCAAAGCATATAGGTGGTGGTGTTACTGAAAAGATCCAGTTTTTACAAAGAAAGAATTATGAAGCCATGGGAACTCCCTGGAGTGTCCCCCGTCTTCCCTCAGCACTGTGAATTATCTGGCATTGTGAACTTGTATACTTCAGGATACCTTTTCCGAAGGAGTCAGATGCTTTCTACCAAGTGAAATGTATAATTTATTTGTCCTTTTACAGCAAGGTGGAAAACGCAGCTTTTGAGGAGACCTGGAGAATTCTCATTGCTTTTGTTCCTTATTTTTAGTTCCCCCATGAGGCAGTTACAGGATCTTTTCTAAGAGATTTAACCTGCAAGGCTCCCTTGCAAATAAGGTGATGCTTTCGCTTCTTCCCAGGGAAGGTCTGATTTAGTGATGAGCTAGAGAACTAGATCTTACTAAAAAGTGAATTCAGCTCGTGGAGACAGAGGAAGGACTAGGCTGCCAAACTAAAACTTAAGGCAGTGTTGCAAGCAGCTGGTGTTAATTATTTTTGCGATAAGGACGGAGGCAGCAGCCCTGGAGGTGTCCCCAAGTGCCAGCCTCGGCTGGGCCTCCGCGTTAGCCTGTGTGGCCTCATGCCCCTGTGGATGGTTCCGCTGAGCACGGCAGGGCCTCGGGGTGTAGTGCCAGTCTGTAGTGAGCAGATATCCTCGGGTATCGCAGCCAGGACATGGCACTGTCGAATCGTAAGGGGAGGCTTCTGTTTGCAAATGGGGTAACTGATATAAAAACAATAAAACCTGGGGAAAAATATTTCAGGGGAAGCATTACTGGAATACTTGGGGGCTTTGCTTAGGAGCTGGCAAGAGGGCAGCAGCCGTGCCCTGCTGTAGGGACTGCCCCAGTGCGTATATGTCATTCCTTATAGTGAGTCCCAGGGTACAAAAAAACCCCTGTGAACTAAAACCAGTTCTGTGGGCCTAAGAACGCAGGATTTGCAAACTTTAGTTACTGCCACTATGTGTATACTGTGGAGCCATTAATTTTGCTGGACAAGCACATTTGGTGGAAGGAGGAAAACAGATGGGTGAGCTGTGGCTGCCTGGGAAGGGCGGGGGGGTTAGAGCTGGCCGGAGGCCCGGGGCGCCTGGCAGAGGGAGGTGGGCAGGCGCTAGCGGGGTGCTTCTGTTTGGTGTTTTTTTTGGTGTGTTTGGTTTTTTTTTTTTTTTTTTTCCATCAGTTACGGACTGCTCCCTATCCTGTTGTAAATTTTGATGTGGACACCCCAGCTTATTTTGTTGGAAGCTGTCACAGACATTTACAGAAAGATTTACCTCTAGGACAAGAGTTTAAACCAAGACAGACATTTTCTGGACCGTTGTATTGGGATTTCAATCATCTCTGTTGTTCTACTGTGTGACAAACTAAATGATAAGTCCTGTAGTAAGCACAGAGGCTTTAGGTGTGGCTTTATCATACTTGTTTTCAATGTTACTCTTATTTCTGTAATTGTAAGATTTAGAGTTTGCAGATAATCTGTTGTAGTTATTTTTTCCTAGACTCTTCAGGAGGGAAGGATAGCCCTGATGTATGTGGGGAGCAGGGAAGGCAGTTTTGGGGAAGGTGGTGGGTGTTTGGTTTCGTTCGTTTGTTTTTGAGATGGAAAGGAAATATCATTAACTGCTGTGATCCATATTTTCTGCTTCTAGGGGCTTGGAGAGAATTCAGCCTGTGTTTCCTGGATAAGGCCTGTTGCTGTAATCCAGGCCTAGACAGTAATCAATATATACTGTTTACTGTTGCTTGCAGACCATTGTTGCTATTAACAAGGATCCAGAAGCTCCAATTTTCCAAGTGGCCGACTACGGACTGGTGGCAGACTTATTTCAGGTGAGGCTAAACTTGGAAATGCAGGGGGTAACTGTTTCAGAGATCTAAGGAGACCTTAGCTAATACAATCTACTAAGTGTTAAAGAAGTTAGCTCGGGGTTGTTAAAGTAAAGAATTTGCTTTATAGTTTCAATTTTTTCATGCTCAAAATTCAGTCCCTGAAAGGGGAGGCTGGCTGTGCTGGGGGTGTGTCCCTGCCTCTAGTGTAGTAGCCTGAATAAGAACCATTTTGAGAAATAACCGCCCCTAGGTGCTTACAGGTATTTTTAAGTTTCATAAGGTACGACAGCACGGTGGTGGCAGGAGGCGTTCTTCCTTCTGCCTGGGCTTGCTGCCTTACTAATGTCCACGTTCCCTCCAGGACAGCTGAGCTGTGAGCCTGTGCCCTCCCGCCGGTGGCTGGTGTGCGCGAGCACCTGCGGTGGGCGGGAGCAGCGCCGGGGCGAGGCGTGGGCAGAAACTCTGCCAGAGCTTAATGCCATTCCTGAACCACTGCCCACTGGCTCGGCCGTCAGCACAGGCCTTTGCGCAAGCCAGAGACTTGAGACACATTCTGAAGAAACACTATGTAGACAATTTCCTTAATAAATTTTGTACGAATGCATTATTTCCACCTAATGGAAATGTAGCGCTCTTAAATAATTAAGAGGCTTTATTCAGCAGGAGAGAAGTGGGGAGTGCTGTGAGCTAGGGTGACGCACAGCCTCTGGAGGGGTGGGATGGCCAGGAGTGTAATTAGGGGGGGGGAGGGGGGAGGTGTGCACATGGAGAGTTTGGGGGGTCAGAGGGACAGCACGTATGACCCTGGCACTGGTGTTTGCAGGCAGTGCCTGAGATGACGGAGCTGCTGAAGAAGAAGTGAGCACCGGTGACGGACGCTGCACTGCAGTTGGAATAAAGGCAAATAAAGGACTGTACTGGAAAGAGGTGGGGTCACTGGTGTTGGGTTTTTGGTGGTGGACAAGGGGAGGGCACGTACTGTGGGGGTGAAGGTAAGGAATGAAAGAGGGATACAAGACAGGAGACAGTGTCTGTTTGTCAGTGTTTATTCCCATCCCCACTCCCCTCCCAGCTGCTCGGCCCCTGGGCAGGGCCAGGACCAGGGCCAGGCGGTGCCCAAGCTGTCCAGCAGCTCGGCCCTGCCCCTGGGCACCGGGGTGCTGCTGGCCCTGCACTGGTGGAAGGTCCGTGGTGCTCCAGGGCTGGTGGCAGGACAGGGCCATGGTCTGTCTGTGACGCTGTGGGTCCAGGGTGCCTCAAACTGGTGGAAGATCAATGGTGGCCCAGAGGACACTGCGGGTCCCAGCTCGCCCAGTGCTGGCGCAGCCCTGGCACTGCAGGGCAGAGGTGCTGGTGGGCACAGCAGGTGAGGGCAGGGGCTGCCTCCAGCACGGCCCCCGGGGCGGCCCCTGACCCCACACAGTCACTGCGTCCCCACAGCTGTCCCTACGCCTCGGGCATCCTGCCCAGCCGTGGCTCGGGGGGCCCCAGGGCCCCATACTTCTCCTCAATCATGGGGGTGGCCTGAGGGCAGTCGATGAGCGGCTTCCGCTGGAAGACGTCCAGGCTCTCCTGGTTCCTGCGGTTGTAGACGTTGAGCCGGTGGCCCAGGTCGGGGCTGGCCCCCAGGGAGCCCGCGGGGCTGGGCAGCTTCAGGTTGACAGGATCCAGCCCCTTCTGCGCCAGGCAGGCCTCCTCCGAGAGCGAGGAGAGCAGCTCCTGCACCACGGCACGGGCGGTACGCTCGGCCCCTGGCCCGGCGCCGGCCGCCTCCTCGCAGGCTGTGCTGCAGTCCGGGGAGGAGCCCGGCGCCCGGCTGCTCTCGCTGCAGGCCTGGGTGCCCGAGCTGGAGCGCGAGGCGCTGCCCGAGGTGAGGCTGGCCGAGGTCCCGGTGCTGCCCAGGCGCGGCGGCACCTCTGCCGTGAAGAGCTCGGAAGAGACGTTGGGGCGATGGACGTCGATGGCAGCGGTGGTGACGGCGCAGAGGGCGGCCGCGGGGCCGCCGCTGTCTGCAGGGACAGAGCGGAGAGAGGCGGCTGAGGGGCGGTTGGTGCAAGGGTCCCCCTGCCCCCCACGTGCCCGTGCCACCCCCAGGTGAGGTGTGTGTGGGCCACCCCCCTTCATGGATATGGCTTTTTTTAAGATACAGGTGTATAGATACACACATCCTTATGGAGATATAAGTATGTCCCTATATGGAAAATGGGCATATACATGTATAAATAGTGCCATATACCTCCAGATGTGTGTACATACACCATATACAAAATACATGTGTGTATATCCACATCTATAATTACATACCACACACACCCCCATTCATACTTAAATGTATGTATATTGTTCTGTGTCTATGGAAAGAAAAAGAAGGTGTATATAAAGTGATGAAAATATACTATAGATGAACACATCCCCCCCCTTTGTAACTTTAAAAATACCTATATATCCTTATGTCTAGATACACACATCTTGTATATATCCATGCATATGATGAGACTGTATAGAGCTACTTGTTAATACAGAAATAATATAGCATACATCTCTTGTATTTTATATATATACACATGACCTTTTATATATAACCTTACCCATATAGATACAGGGAAAAGGCTCTGTGGATATATATATATACATACACGGAGTACAGTTCCCCTTTAAATAAATATAATTATCTCTAAATAGATAGCACACACAAATATACTTACCCATATAGATAAATGGTTATGTATTAATTGCTGTGTGTGTATATATACATGGAGAAATGTATATATAGGGGTATTTTATTTATACCACTTTTAAATTGTACACACATCTTTTATAGCTATCCATGTATGTTAAGAGGACTTATATTAAGAGGATTTATATAAAGGGATATATATCTACAAATAATATCATATACCTGTGTATGTATACATGCACACAGGTATTACTTGACAGACATATATGCACACACAGTCCCTCTCTCACACACACATATAGTACATAGTCCCTCCTTTAAATACATATAATCAGTAAATGGAATACACACAACCGTCCTATGTTTATTTCTGAATAGATTGATTGTTTTCTGTGTGTGTGTATATATATACTTATGGGGATATATAGATATATAAAATAGATCACTGTCTGTATAATGGGGGTAAATAGAGAAGGATATACATCCATAAATAATAACATATATCTATATATGTGTGTATCTCTACACAGTCTCTCTCACATTTTATATGCATGTAGTATTTACATACAGATTGATCTATATAGATATTATATAGATAGGTACCATATACAGTATACATATGTACACAGAGACGTGATACACACACTAATTTATAGTCCCTCTTTAAATACATATAGTTAGCTACCTTCTAAATAGAATACACATGCTTGCTCACACACACATATACTTACCTTTATATTTAAATATATATGTATTTCTCACTGTGTATATACACTGGGAATGTGTATATAGGGATATACATCTATAATACCTTATACCTAGGCACACATACACATCTGTTTTATATGTAATACCTATTATACATATGCAATTATGAGCATGTACATATATATACACACCGTTATATGTATCTCCGTGTATATTAGGGGATGTTTATAGAGGGATGCACATCTATAATTAATACCATATACCTGTACTCATACATATGTGCACACAGATAATTTATATAATACATATATATACACACCCCTACTTTATATACATGTAATCTTTATGTGTAGATATGGGGAATGTATGGTATGTGCATATATATCTGCCCCATATAATGTATCTATAATGCTTTATACATGTATATCTTTACGTGTATATACATGGGGAATGTATGTATATACATACATTATACCTTTATGTGAACACACACACACATATAAAATTATATGGATATACAACAGACCTGGTCACTCACATCTTTTTAACTAGACGTACGCCTATCCGTGGAGTCATATACCTTTATATATAGCCATGTATATATAATGGGCATGGATATAGAGGGATATACAAAAATAAAAGTAATACTGTATACTATATGTGTATGTACATATGTATTTTTTTATATATATATATAATTTGTATAGTTACAGTCGCACACAGATTTTATATACAGATATCTTTATACATTTATCCATATTTATAGAGAGAATGTATGTATGTATATATGTAAGTATCCCCATTTAAATACATTGTACCTATACACGTACACAATTTTTATAATGCATCTACTTATATATTATACACATGTATTTTCCAATACATAAACTATGTATGTATATACATTGGCTCTCACATACCCACCCACATATATATATATTTTTACATATGTAAAATACCTACGCAGCTACATCTTCAGCTGTCTTTATACCTGTCTGCATACACACATATACAGGAGGATGTATAGGGATATACCTATATATAAAAAATACCATGTACCTATACAGTGTATACACACAAATGCACATACAGTTTAGAATAATACAGATTATATGTAACACACAATACAGACCATACATAGTAAGTACTACTACTACTAACAACAACACAGATTAAAAAGATACGTATATATATACAGTCGCTCTCTCACACACCCCCCTGTTTTTTTTCTCTGCATAGGTACAGGGAGTTTATATCTGGGGGTATTGATACGCAACACATTTTACCCATACATGATACCGAGATATATATCCCCATGTATATATATATATGTGGATAGACATACATTATACCTATAAATCTATACACACTTAATACATATTACAGAATACATATAAAATCTGTAAGTATATAGTCAGTCACACACATTTTATTATCATAAATATCTATGTATATGCAATTATACACTCACACATCCCTTTATGTATCTTTATACACCTAGACATGCATGCACACACATAGAGACATATCATTATATATAACCATATATATATATCCATGTATGTATATATGGATATAGGTATATAATCTATTATATGTCTACGTATGCACACACATTCATACTTCATATATAATATATATGAAACGTATGTACAAACACCTTTATAGATATTTACCTATAAAGAAGCTTATGTAGACATTCATATGCACATATCTTAATATATATATATATCTCCATGTATACATAGGGGGATATACATAAGACATTATACCTATATATACATACATTCATATTTTAAATAGAGTACATCCAAATTATGTATGTGTATATATATATATACACTGTCACACACACTTCCCTTTTTATATATATATATATATGACAAAAAAAAACAGGATAGAAAAACCAGAAGGTAATAAGTGCGCATATATATATATATATATATATATATATATATCTCCCCATGTATAGCACTGCAGGGATGTATCTACAAGGATATACATATATAATGCATTATACATATATTTTACAACCATACACTTACCCACACATATTTACTCGTTACATATAAATCTATAGATGTATCTCCATGTGTGTGTATGTGCATATGGGGATACAAATATATAATACATTAAACACTGATACATTTTTATGTCTATAATACATATATATCTCTTCAAAGGCCATCTCTGTCATACACTCCCACCCCTTTACATATACCTTTATTTAATTGTATACATATGTAGATAAAATGTCTATGTATAGACACAGCCTGTCATGCACATCTTTATATAAAGATGTATACCTATGTATCTTCATATATATGTATATGTACAGTCACACACCTTTATAGGTATAGATATTTTCTCATATGAGGATGTATGTATGTTTGGAGATGCATATATGACACATTATACACCTCTGTACAAACATACATTTTTACTTCTTTTTTAAACGTGTATGTGTATCGCTTTGTGTGTACGGCTGGGCGATACACACCTATCACACATGACTGATTTCTGTGCATCCACACACATACACCGTACCTACACGCGCGGCTCCATCCTTACATAGCCACAGTGCAGGGACACGCTGTGTCCACGGGGGGGGCGCTGGCCGGGCCGCCCCCCCTGCTCCCCCATGGGACCCCGCAGCAGCTGCAGCACGGGGCGGGGGGGTGCCCCTGGAGGCACAGCCCCCCACCCCCAGCAAAGCGCGGGCGGGCTGCCAGGGCGGGTCTCATTTCCAGGATGGAGCCACATCCCCGCTCAGTCTCGCCTGGTTTACAGCACACAGTGCAACGCAAAAATGCAGTTCACATTTACATTTTCAAGCCAAACTTACCACTGCTAGGGTCAGCGTAGTATCGACTGATGTAATTATTCATGTCATCCTCTGAAACAACAACAAGGCAGCCATTAGAAGACCGTTTCTGTGATTAAATGGTTGAAACTTCACCCTGTGAAAGGCTGTCCTCTGCCCTGCGTGCCCAGGGCGCCAGCACCTGTGTATTTTTAGGCCCGAAGACAGGGTGTGATTTGGTGACACGCTACACCCCCATCCGCCCCGTGGCTGCAGCCAAAATAGGGTTTATCGTTCCTTGCAGTTCTTTACAACAGCGACCGGGGAACGAGGCAGCCTGGGCCCCGAGGAAAACGTGCTGCGGGGGCTTTGCCCCGGCCGAGGCAGGGCCCAGCAGTCCCCCAGGCCCATCTCCCCGCCGCTCGCGATGCCAAGCGCGGGGCTGGCCTTGCCCTGCCCAGCCGGGCCCGTGCGGCACGAGGGGCGAGCTCGGCATCACCCCGGCCGGCTGAGCCCAGGGCGGCAGCACACGCAGACCTACTTCTGCCGTGCAGCTCCAGCACCCAGTAACCTCCTTCCGCGCGGTTACGCTGCAGCCGGGGAGGCATCGCCTGTGACCCGAGCTCCCTGCCCGCCCCTGTTCACCTTCGGCTCTGCCTGCCCAGACCCGGCGCTCCCGGGAGAGCCCGAGCACCCTGCCCCCGCGGCCAGCCCCTCACTGTGCCGAGGAGTGCTCCAGGTGGGGGCACTGGGAGGGCAGGTTTTATTTCTCCTATAGCGATACCTCTCTTTTCTTTCCATATTGGTTTTTTTTTTTTTTTTTTTTTTTTCACATGGCCCCACGCTGCTGCTCACTTCCATTCGCAATCCCCTCCGGAGACCCGTGCTGTTGCCATGCTGCACGGCAATGACATAACGGCTGCTCCTGAGCAGCCTCCCTGTGTTTCTGCACTCCCTCTTCCCTTGTAGCGTTTTTATCTTGTTCCCATGACAAGCAGTTGACTGACTGACTGACTTAAAAAAAGCAGAAACAGTATCCAGTATGTTTCCCAAAGAATGGCTAGAACTTCCCCTGTTCTATCTTGGATGACAGGGCCAATAAAAGCCACATGAGTTTACCAAAACAAGTAGAAATGCCTCCCCAGCTCAGCACGGGTGCTGCTTGCTGGGGGAAACAAGCACCAGACAAGCCAGCAGGAGTGTAGTACTACACTTGCAGTACCTACCTGAGAGCTACACCTGAACCTCAATAACGATAAGATAAAAATGAAGATATGACCACAAAAGGGAAAGCAGCAGCTATAGCACATATACAGACTTCAGATGCTGCAGATGGCAGTGGGATTTCCTGTGATCTTATAGAAAAGCAGAGTATTTTCCAGTCGCTGAAAAATAAAATCACAAACTCTTCTTGTTCCAGTTCTGAGCAGAACACAACCATTGCTGCTAAGAGAGCAGCATCAGCAATCCGGGAAGAATTTCAAGCTTACAAGCAACCTGACCTGCCCAATTTGCGGTGTATCCTGTGCTCTAAAAGCATTCTCTCCTTTTAAGTGCTCTTTTTGATACCGTGTTTCAGAAAACCATGCTCATCCCTTTGAGCCAGATTTCCTTCGTCCCCCTGGGTATCTGTGGCTACAGTCCTGCCTTTTCGCAGCACATTGCGGTTTGCAGGTGAAAGAAACAGATGTTTTCTGGGGAACACTTTCTCCACACAACAAGACCCAAACCACTAAGCACTCTGTACCTGAAATAGCTGCACTCATAAGAAGGCAATCTAACCTGACATTGAAAGGCAACGTGGTTGTTTTCCTGGTTTCTTTGGATCTTAAAAGCTTTTTTGGCCCTTGTTGATCTTTAAATGCCTGCAGTCAGAGGTGTGCTTTGTGATAATGTCTGAGTTTAAAAAAGAAGCCTCGGAGTAGCTCAAGGCAATGCTGCTGAATTCAGAGTACATTGCAAGGCTTTTCAGCTATCTGCTACTAAAATACACTTCATTTCAATCATGCATAATTTACACTCTAAATGCCACCAAACCTGCCGGGCCATATAGGTACAGGTTCTTGTTCAGGCATGGAACCTGCAGCTACAGTCAGGAAATACCTGCGTATCTGTATTTCTGGTAACACACTTTCAGCACCTTTAACTTAAGAGTCCAATTCTAAGCAGAGAAACGAGGAGAACAGAACTACGAGTGCATGTCCTGCATGTGGGGGTCGCCCCGCCCCACCGCCTGCCAAAAGCAGCCGCCCCGTGGGGTGCGATGCCATGCGCAGGGCACTGGGCTGCTCTCCTTTCCCTGGGCTCTCGCCAGAGCCTGCCCCAAGTGCCGAGATGCTTTGCACCGAAGACAGAAAACAAACTTGGGAACGTTACTCATCTGCTTTTCATATCGTATGACAGGGCTCAAATCAAGTCTTCTTGAGGCTTGCATACATTTACTGCCCTGGCCATCTGTCTATTAACTAACAGAAGGTACCAGAGCTCCATTTTCAAACCGATCAGTTGCTTTCACACCAGTTTAGCAAAGAGACACAGACTGCGCTATCAGCAAAGACCTGTGCCAGACACCTGAAAAGGAAATCCTGTAACACACTCACTCAGATCCCTCTGAGCAGTGACAAATCCCACCGACTGTCCTGCCTGCGCCTGTGACCACTTGCACACGAGACTGGGAGAGCTGCCTAGCTGCCTACTTTCATGTTATTATGTGAGGGCCTTTTTAATGTCACTGCTTTACCTTGCTTATCTATTTATCTATAAATAAAACAGATGAACATATATACATGTGCACGTGTACGTAAAATATAAAATACACGCGTCTATCTAATTTTACCTGGAATAGTTTCTTATGAATAAAAACAATGAAGAGTAATGGAATAACAGCAACAGAACAAATACTTCAACAGATGACGTTTCAGAATCATTACATTAAAGCAAACTGACAATTAACAAACTCATCTTAGTCATATGGGAGTCTGAGCTGCTTTGGCCATAAAAGGCTGTAAACAATTCCTGTTACCTCTCATTATATTTTACATTGCTGAAAGCAAGGAGTTTTAAAAAAAAAAAGCCACAAATATACAACTGAAAGCAACTATTTGTGCATATAAAATATCTACACAAATAAAAAGGATGGTACTGTGCATTACTATAGAACACTGCCTAAGTACATTAGGGTGATCTACAGTGAGACCAAGTCCCTGCTGCTCGGTACGTGCAGTCAAATGGGATCAGGAGCACAACCACATTTGCAGCTGGTGGCATGTAGGAAGTTCATCTGAGCAAGTAGGGGAGACCAGCTTTTACAAAGGGGCGGATTGCTTATATTTAAATTCTACATAAACGTTTTCTGCTGTCAGTGTATTTTATTTTCAGCTCCAGAAAGGGAGCTGTCTCAAGAAAGACTTCATTCTTCATAGCTTCCCTGGTTTTCTTAAACATTTTTTTTCTTATCTCTGCCACCTTGTAATTTTCAGGATCCAGAAGACTGCATTTCCCTCCTTTCCTAGAAATAAACCCCTCTCTTCAAATACATAGAGATATTACCTGCACTGCCCTTTACGGAAGAGAAACTTTCCATTTAAAAGTCCATAGCCATAACAATGCCCAAATGGTATTTATAGTAAATTAAGGAACTGACAGTCAGTAGAAAGAAAAAGCATTTCCCTCTTATTTCCCCTCAAAATGGCAACCTTAGAAAAAGGTCTATGGATGGTGATGGGGATCCTCTTGCTAGATGCACCAGGAGGAATCACAGAACCATTTAGGTTGGAAAAGACCTTTAAGATTGAGTCCAACCATAACACTAAATAAACCAAGCCAAGTCCACCACTAAACCATGTCCCCACGTGTCACGTCTACACGTAAGGAACGAAAGCCTTCACCCCCAGGAAATCCAGTCACCAAGATCTAATAGTTGTGAGCTGAGAAGGCAGAATGGGAAAAGCGAGGCAGCCATTCCCCATGTGAAAACCCGTCCCAACCTTTGGTGAACAAGGATGGTTCTACAATCTTCCCTGGAGAGCGAGAGCCATGGGAAGCAGCAAGATACGCACCTGTACAGTGGAGGAATTCAGCTGAGAGAAGGTTTTGCTGGGCAGGAGATGCTCTTCTCTATGGGTCATGAGCTCAAGTAGTGTGGGGTGTGAATGACAGCCCAAACAGGATGACAAAGTGAGACACCAGGAGCTGCTTCACCCACTAGTGGAAGATGGCAACCAGGGACGGGGAGGGGTGAGGCACAGCAGAGTAACACAGAGCAGGGCTGACTCCCACACCAACACTTTCACTAGTCAAAAGGGAACGTCTGGCTGGGAAGGTGGCTCGGACTCCTGCCTATCTCACATCAAAACAAACCACCCTTCCCTGACACTGCAACCAACTGCTTCTGCGAAGCTGTAAGTGCAGTAAATTCAAATCAAGAAGGAGAAACAAGTCCCATCTCTCAACATGCTACCCAAATCTCTGTTATCGAAAAAACATGTGGTTCTTGGTCAGAATCTGTCTGACAGCTACTGGATTTTGTCTGATGAAGGTTTTCAAATTATCTGCCTGTTCTTTTACTGCAAGACTCAGAACACACGCTAAAATGGTTCAGGGAGTAATAAACTATTTAGAGTACAGTCCCATATAATCTCATTTGACCCAAGAGACAATGTTGTAATCCCTCTCTCCTGGCCCTATAAAAACCTAATAAATTTGGTGAAACACATAAATGACATGCTACCCAAGGCAGATCTCTCTTTCAGTTCTATAATCCCTCTACAGTGACCTTTAATTGTTTCATCAATGACTTTAGTGAATGAGTCTGCAACCCGCCCGCACACAATGAATACCATTTGCACATCTTTTAGATTAGAGGCCTTACAAAAGGGATTCCTTTTGAAATATTTCATTAGTAAATAATTTTACTTCGTATTTTTATTGCCACTAATTGTAGTGCCCTCTGTCTCTCAGAGTTGAATTTTCTGAACCGGAAGGTTATTTTTTCTGCTGTGTAACCTCCCACTGAGAACGTCAATCCCCAGAGCAGAGTAATATCTTACCCTGACTTGCCTCCAGAAAGGCATTCTTTACTAGGAGTTGCTAAA